TGAAGGAAAAGAGGAGTTGGTTTGAGGTGAAAATGCAAAAAACACAGTCATAATGAAGCAGTGGATTTTTTATTTTTTAAATAAAAAAGCAGGATCCCGTTTCTTTTTTTCATACAAAACTTCCAGTGTGAATGACAGCAATAAATAATAGCTTTCAGAAAATCACTCAACTTATTGCGAACACACGAATGCTACAAACTATATACAGGTTTCCAAGAGCAGCTACCATCCATGAAAAAAGAGTGGGGCATTGTATGCCTGAGCTTTGATACAGCAGCACAGATTGTAACCTCGATTGTGAAGCTGCATGACTGGAAATGAGGCCCTGCCTGCGGACACAGTCTTCTCTGAGGAACATAAAGGTTGCACAAATGCAAATAGAAAAAAACACAACACACAGTTGCAGTAAAAAAAAAACAATTTCAAAAGTATAAAAAAAAACGATTTCAAATCTTAGTCACAGAGTTTGTTGTTAACTTGACAAAACGCTTAAGGACTCCGACTCAGTGGACATTGAGGAAATTGGCCCTCTCTTTTTGGTCATGAGTGTCACCTTTTGACTGGATCTGCAGCCGGCTGTCAGTGCACTCTTGGCTGATTTCTTGAACGTTTCTCCCAGGAAAGCATAGAGGATGGGGTTTAAGCAGCAGTGAAAGTAAGCCAGCGCCTCTGTGATAGAAATCCACTTCTCCACCGCTTGTTGCAGCACACAGGAGGGAGTCACCACGTTCAGCATCATCAGGTTGTCCAGGAAGAGACCAACACAGTAGGGCAGCCCGCAGGTGAAAAAACAAAGGATGAGGATGACCGTGGTCTTCAGCGCTTTCTTCTTCAGCGCCTGGCCCTTGGTGCCTTGCGACAGCTTGGCGATGATGATGCAGTAGCAGATGAGGATGACCAGCCCGGGCAGAACAAAGCCCAACAGGATGTGCTGAAAGCGGAAAACAACTGTCCATATCATGCTGGATTCCTGCGGGTAGAAGCGCTGGCAGATGATCCTGGAGTCTGCAGTCTCTCTGCTATCGTTGAAAAAGTGGATGTCGGACGACCGTGTTTGAACCCTGGCAAACACAAGGTCAGGTAAAGTCAGCACAGCAGCAGGCAGCCACACTCCCACATAGATCACTCTGCTCGCAAGAAGCTTCCTTGTGGCTTGACTGTTGGTGGCCCGCACAACTGCCAAGTATCTGTCCAGGCTGATGAAGGCCAAGATCAACACGCTGCTGTACAGGTTCACCGTGTAGATCATGTGCACTGACACACAGAGGAAACCGCCAAAGTACCAGGAGCTGGCTGCATCCACGGCCCAGAAGGGCAGCGTGAGGACGAACAGGAGGTCAGCCACGGAGAGATGGAGCCGGTACTTGTCCGTCATCGTTTTGACCTTTTTCTGGTAGCCCATGACAACTACCACTAATCCATTGCCAATGACTCCCAGGACGAATATAATTCCGTAAACGGTCGGCAGGAAGATCTTGCTGAAGTTGCTGCTGAGCGCTCGGCCACATGGCTCATCTCCAAACTCAAAGTCTCCAGACTCTGAAAAGTTGTCAGTACTGTTCTCCAAAAACTGATAGATCACATCCATCTGAAAGAAAAAGGAATTGTAAAGTTAGAAAACAGTTGAGATATATTTAGTTGTTAACAATAAATGTATCTTTTAAAGTTGAAAAGTATATTTATATATATATAAAATGCATTTTCTTGATATTAGAAATGAATACAACAAGTACTTAAAGTATATAATATCACTGTTAACAATGGTGAAAATGATAAATATTCACATTATTTTCCCACTAAACACCCTCTAGCAAAAATGGTTGAACATATTTATTTTTTCTGCTACTTCTCTAAAGTTGTGTAAAAAGTTAGAATTTAACTTATTTATTTTAGTTATTTTACCAATAAAAGTGTTTATTTAAAATGTCAAAACACTACAATTAGTAGGCCTATTACTAGTTAATTACACCTCTGTTTACACGGGTGCTAAATTATCCAATATATTTAGATTTACCTTTTTTCCTAAAACAGCTTCAAGTCAAAACCGACCAAACTGCCATGTCTTAATTTAAAAAGTAAAAACAAATGAAGAAACTCACGTCTTGGTCCATGTTTACCAGTCGTTGAAAAGAGACGTTTGAACCAGTGTGTGTTTGTGTGTGTGCAGCAGGGCTATCCGTTGTCTGTCTTAATGCAAACCAATATATAGGCTTGCCGTCGGTGCGCTGCCCCACCCCCCCCCTCCCCCGGAGGCGGGGCTTAGGGACGCACGAGTCTCCAAAAGAGGTTCCACTATAAAACCAACTACAGTGGGCGTCACTTTGTGAAAGTTTTACCCTAACAACCGTGTCCAATATTTTGTCAACTTCGAAAAAGACGTTGAACCAAAAAAAGAGAGGTTTGTGTGGGCACTGTGACAATTATTTAATGTCATAAGGCTTAACTTATTCTTGAATTTATTTCTGGTGACTTTTGCACTCTGTAAAAACTAAGACTTCCTTCTTCTTTTTTTTTGCAATATGAAGTATGAATTTACAACCAAGCAAACCAAACCTTAACTATGAAACATTTTGAGAACCTGATATACAAACATGTAATTGAATCAACGCCTTCATTACAGAGACACCATAAAGGAAAAACACATCACTATCACATGCACTTCAAAAAGTAAGCACACTAACATATCGTAAGACATAGATTTCACATCAGTCAGTGATAATATGATTATTATCCTATTATTAAGTGCACCTACCCAGAATATATTACAATGTTGTTGGAATGTAACAAATATCATATTCTCAAGTACTGTAAAGTACAATTTTGAAATGTAATAAGTAATAAATATAATTTAGAAAGCACTTTTCTAGGTAGGCTACTCAAAGTTGCTTTACAAGAACAATTCACAAAACAAACAAAGATGAATTTAATTAAATGTTATGCAACTATACTTCAACTTCATTTGGAAGCAAATATTCTCCACTTCCACTGCATTTATCTGACATCTTAATTACAGATAGAGGTGATTATTTAATACAAACATATAAATCAACCAAAAAACGAACTATTTAATATTTGGTACTTTTACTAAAGTTGAACATTAGAGTATTGCTTCCTTCTCTGCTGTAATGTCACCACAGCAGATGAATGTGCTGTAGAGTTCAACAAGGACACAATTTTCAGCCATCCGTCAAGAAGAGTTGTTGGAAAAATTAGAGCAATTTTAGGATTACACCTGCTTTGCTGGTTGTATATCATCAGCTCAGCAGCCTCACACTTCACACCTCCCTTCCTCTGCATGAAGCGTGCACTGACATTTAAATTGGTCGTTCAGGGTCTTCTCAGCCTCATAATTCTCTCTACAAATCACTTTATAACTGTCTGAGGACAGTTTTCATCAGCGGAGGTTGGAATCCGTCCTCACCTTCATACACACCCTGTCTCTGCTCAAGTGCTGTTATGTCTGCGCTGCCAACTGCTTAATGACCCCCAGTGGATTTGAAAAGAACCCCACACCCTATAATGTGGCATTTCTATCAAACGGCTATCGAGTCTCAGAGTGCAGAACGTTATTTTCTTTCACAGCTTTACCAACCCTCTCTGATTTCAGTTGGTGATGACAGACCACACCAAACCCTCCGCCCTGCTCTCAGACGGAGCTGACGGTTGTCTGAAACCAAATCTCCTCCATGTGGCATGCAAATGCTGCCTCGTGTCTTTGATATATGAGAGCATTGATAGATTCAATGAGTCAATGTGCATCATTGATTCCATTGATGTTTGCCCCTTGTGTTGAAGAGGGATTCTTAGAGATGCAGGACAACACAACATTAAAAAAACATCAGGACAACAGCACATTTTCACAGAGCAAAACCTTTATTTTCCACATATGCACATATGTTGCAATAGCAGATTTGTTCTTAGGTTTATCTGATGGAACACACATTTTGTGCATGTCAGCATTCAATCCATTTCTCAACTGGCCGTATCGTACTATATCAGAGGTCAGTTAAGGTAAAGATGCTCAACAGCTTTTTAACTGTCTCTGCATTTCAACAACAGGAACAATTCACAGTTACATTTCAAAACAACAGTGTGTTGTGATGAAAAGTTACCACAGGGTGCTTAGAAAATGGGGAGGTTTATCAGAAGATAGATAGTCGTCATGCTGAATCATAAAAAAAACCCTACTGTTATTAAAAGTTGGTTTGGAAACCACAGCCATTTGTGTTGTGACGGTACTCAGCATCTCTGAAAATGACTGACTTTTTAAAAAAAAATGTTTTTAACCTTTATTCAACCAGATATAAAAGCATTGAGATAACATCTCATTTACAATGCTGACCTGGCCAAGAAGGCAGCAACATAACACATAACACAAACATATAAAATACAGAGAACATAACTAAGAAAACAAAAGACGAAAAAAGCAGTTACTACATTGTGCACATTAGGACAGTAAGAAAGGCACTACTTATTACTGCAAGAGCAGCTGGTGGTAAGGACTTCTGACAACTTCAATTTAAAACATGCTATTGAGACAAGTGCCCTCAGTTTGAGGCGTGATTGAAGGTCTAACACTGTGTTCGCATAAAATATGATCTGTGTTGATCTCGACTGGGCGATTTAAAAGCGCTGTTTTGTTACTCTGGTACTTATTGACAAAAGTTATTCTATCTGTAGAAACTCCAAGAGGGGTTTTTATTTTTTACCAAACTCTACACTAAAATCCCCCTGGTGTGAAGGAAACTGCATGTGAAGCATCTGCAGGAAACCCAGAAACACTTGCACAGTTTGAATTACAATCTGTTGAATATGCAGTGTTGAACCATCACACCAACCTGATCTCTGAGTGGAAAAATGCCCTCCAATTATCACTCGTATGAACACACGAAAGACTGAATAATCTAATAATCAGCAGTAATACAGCAGCATTCACAGACAGATGTTTGCAGACTAATCCTGTGTGTGTTGTCTTCAGATCCCCCTGCAGTAGAACTCCCGAGGAGAGGAACAGGAGGAATCTGCCGCTCAGAGAAAGGCCACTGTATTGGTATGATGCTCTTATCTTCTTCATTCAGACACACACTTGTTATCTCTCTCCGCCAGCACAACTCCTGGATTTCTTCTGAATAACATACACTATTTTATTTTCTACATTCCCCAAATCCCTTTCACTACTTTTTGCTGACTCACTTTGTGAAGTTTTTTTTCTTATTCTTTACATTTTGAGAAGTATTTCCTCTGAAGCATTCATACATTTTTCCTTTACACTTACCATTTCGCTCAAAGGCTGTTTCTAAATTCAACGTGATGCTTGGAGTTGTGAAGTCTTTGAAATGGTGCAGTTGCTTGGTATTGGATCACTATGCTTTCCTTACATGAAACATATATCTGTGAGAGAAAAACAAAGACATTTCTTATTTATTTCTTATTAAGGTATTTAAAGAAGGTCCTAAGAGTGCATGAATCGAAACTCAGTGAATATTTATAGTTTTTGGGGGAGATTCTGAGATTGGAGATATTATGTACAAATTAAGGCCCAGAATCATATTTATACATTTGTACAGACATATTGATTGGTGGAGGAAAAGTTAGGAATTATATTCAGAATCTGAAATTCTTTATTTGTCCCACAACGGGGATATGTTATTGATGATATTCATACTTCCAGTGCAAGATTTGTGCCCTGCTTTTTATGTCAAATCTGTGTTTTTCAATAAATCTGCTTCTTGCCATTTACCTTTCATCATCTGTGGAGTGTGTGTGTACATGGCATGCAGCTTATCATTTGCTAGTACATTAACATCAGAGATTTCACTCCTCATGATAAATAATGCCTTTTTTCCCCCTCTGGATTCAGCAGGATATATGCAGCCTCCACTGTCAGTGTGAGGATTCAGATTGCTATCAGCCAGGAATACAAAAGATCTCTGAGCTACTTAGAATACAAATCACAAGAAGTGTGAACGGCAGCGAAGCGGGCTCTTCAGTGAAGAATGGCTATTGAAATGAGGCAGAAGAATGTCAGAGAGATAAAGAGAAGAATGAGCAGTCAACAACGCTGAGCCCTCCAGTTTCAACTCATCCAGGCCCCCTGAGCAAGTCAGCACGGGATAATTTTTCATAATGATAGCTCCGCTCAAATATCACCTTCACTTTTTCTTCTTTTTTTTCATTCTCTGCATACTAAAAAACATCCAGTCTTTTATGTTGGAGCTGACTCTGGGTGTTGGCCATAAATGCACAAAAGGTTTTTGGGGTAACTTAAATACCTTTAATCTCTTGTCTGAGCTCTGAGAAGTGCTTTGTGTATTTCTGCTACACACAGAAGAAAGGTGTGTGTACTTGACAATGCATTGTAGACATAGCTGTTGTTGCCATATTGTATTTCTCTTATTCACATGCATTTTGATTTAAAAACATTCTCTACTTATTAAAGTAGTGTTTGTTCCATCTCGTAGTCCATCCCTTCCCCAGTGGTGGAAAGTAACTAAGTACATTACTCAAGTATTGTACTTAAGTACTTTATTGACATATTTATATTTGTACTAGTATTTCCATTTAATGCTACTTTATATGCTACATTTCAGAGGCAAATATCCTACTTTTACTCCACTGAATTTATTCTTATCGTTACTTGTAGAAATAAAAACACATGATATGCTGATATGGTAATATGCAGTACTGTACTAATAATCTAAGCATTACGAAATTATTTTTGCACGAATAAAAACAGGATAAAAGAATAACCATAATAATACAATGCTGTGAAAAGATCCATTCTGCATACTGAGTAATTTTACTTTTGATACTTCTGTTTTAAATAATTCTGAAATGAGCCATTGTGCATATAGAGTACTTTTACTCTTTTATTTTAAAAACATATTAATGCTAATACTTTTACTCAAGTAAAATGCTGGACTTTGACTTGTAGTGGATGACTTGAAGACCGTAGTATTTGTACTTTTACTTAGGATCTCAGTACTTGGTATTTAAAGGTTCTCTATGGAAAGCTGTGTAATGCCAGTACAGGGCTGAAGTGTTGAATTAATTGTTTTTAAATGACTTCAGAAGATCTGAATGTTCCTGCATTTTTCCTCATATACTTCATGATCGTTATTTGTGATGGAATGCATAACGTCTTTATCTATCTATCAGCCAAGGTTTTATCA